TCTGTTTAATTTTCTGGTTATATAGATTTTTAGGGTTGTAGCTAGTAATCTGATTCTCTCACTCGATTCTACTTCTGAATCTTGGGTTGCATGTAATTTGAATATAATTTATAGCGTGTTGGGCTTTGAAATTTTACTGCAAACTTCATTCAAATTCAGTTTCTCTTAATACAAGTTATCTATGGTGTTTGCAGTTACAACTACCAATCAAGCAGTCACTGCTCTGGAAATGTTGAGAGAAAACAGAAACAAGTATGACTTGGTTATCAGTGACGTTAACATGCCAGACATGGATGGCTTTAAGCTCCTTGAACTCGTGGGGCTCGAAATGGATCTACCGGTTATCAGTAAGCAAATGCCACTTTTGTAAAGTCGTTAAATCACCTTCAATCTCTTTTTTGTAATTTACTGTGGCATCTTGAACAGCGATAAAACATTTTAACCTAGATAGGGCAAATCTTTGTTGTTTCATTTTCTTATAATGACTATGCTGTTGGTTTCAAGAAATTTATGTCGTAATTACTGTGTAGTCTTCCCTTAATGAATAAATGAAAAATGGTTTAAATCTGTGGGTAGTTTTGATTGGATATAATTTTTTCCTACATGAACTTTGTTACAGTGTTATCATCTCATGGTGATAAAGAGTTTGTGTATAAGGGGATCACACATGGTGCTGTTGACTATTTGCTAAAACCTGTCCGATTGGAGGAGCTCAAAAACATATGGCAACATGTAATCAGGAGAAAAAAATGGTATCCCCAGGACCAAAACAGGTCACCAAATCAAGATAAGGGTGGTGATGGAGCTGGAGAGGGGGACCAAGTGACATCAACGGGTAGTGCTGATCAAAATGGAAAAGTAAACAGGAAACGCAAGGACCAAGACGAAGAGGAGGAAGGTGAGGGTGAAGATGGAAATGATAATGAAGAATCTGGGAATCAGAAGAAGCCTCGAGTTGTTTGGTCGGTGGAGCTGCATCAAAAGTTTGTCTCTGCTGTCAATCAACTGGGTCTTGACAGTGAGTTTCCTCAACTTAGAAGCAATATTTTTTGCTTTGTATTACCATAATTACTAATCCCGATACCATTTCTTTTATCCTTCACTTTTTGTTGCATCATTTGCAGAGGCTGTTCCAAAGAAAATACTTGACCTGATGAATGTTGATGGGCTTACAAGGGAAAATGTGGCAAGCCATTTGCAGGTACCTATGTTTCGTTTTTGTTTCTTTACTTTCCATGAAAAATGATGCCTAATGATTGTCAGTACTGCACCTGTTATTGGGCTTGGGGTGACATCATAATGGAATGTGTATCGGGTTAACTGTGTGCTCAACCTTATTGTGAAAAACTTGGCAAATCTTTGACAATAACAGGGCCCATTTTTGCAAATTAGAAATGCCAATTTTACTATTCTTTCACATGATCGCTAATAGTGTGGCGAGATATATATATATATATATATAGACAACTGGTAGGTAGATACGTCTAAAGTAATTTTGACCTTGTGTTGAAATTTCAAAGAATTTTGTTGCTGTTTTGTGTTTCCTTACAGAAATTCAGGCTTTACCTCAAAAGACTAAGTTGTGGAGCAAATCAGCAACCCAACATGGTTGCTGGATTTGGTGCTAAAGATTCATCTTACTTGAGAATGGGTTCGCTGGATGGATTTGGAGATTTTCGCTCTGTGCCTGGACCGGGACAGCTTTCAACCACTTCTCTTTCATCATACCCACCCGGGAGTTTGCTTGGTAGATTGAACTCTCCTGGTGGTTTAACCTTGCAGGCAATAGCTTCTCCTGGGCTGCTCCAACCAGGTCATTCCCGATCCTTGAACAATCCTCTCAATACTCTTGGAAAGCTCCAGCCAGGTCTCTTACAAACAAACCGAGGCAGCACAAATTTATTTCAAGGGATTTCATCAGCACTGGAGCCCAAGCAATTACAATTGAAGTCTATGAACCATATTGGAGACTTCAATCACAAAGGTGATGCAACGAGTTTTACACTTGCCGGTTGCTTCCCGGATGTCAAAGTGACTATTGGTAGCTTGGGCAATACCATATCTAGTGCCGCAAACAACCCTCAGATGCTTCATGTGAACCCACAACAAAATCAGACTAGGAGATCGTTGGCAACTCAATCTTCTCTAAGCATGCCTTCATTGAATCAGGAGTCTTTTGATGTTGGTGTTCGTGGCTCTTCAAATTTTCTGGATCATAGTAGATGTGATGATAACTGGCAAGGTGTAGTTCAAATGTCCACATTTCCTTCAAACTCTTTGCCATTGGGCGAACCTTTCCGACATGATCCATTGCCTACAAGTACCCGGAGAGACAATATATCTTCCTCCACCTCTCACATTGTTAATAACCCTCTTGATTTTTCTTCATCGGGTTCTCTCACAGCACCTTTAGAAGATTCCAGATTAGATATGCAAGGACAAGCAGACTTGGTTGGTAATATTTTTCATAATACAAATTACACATCAAAGAACAGATGGGGAGAAAATAGCCAAAACTATAATCCTTGTCTAAATGGTTCGTTTGGTGCCATGAACTCCCTGGTTTCTGGAAATGGTTCCATGAGCCCATTGAGCCAGAGTATGGACCAAAGGAAAAGGTTCGATGCATCTGTGCTTGGTCAATCAAACAGTGGGACTCTATCCATGTTTCAGCATCTTGAAGCTGAGAATTCTGCTCTGGACCGAACGGGTATGAGAATACCAAAAATGAGGTCAAATGAGGATTTTCTCTTGGAGCAAACAAAGTCTCCTGATGGTTTCGTTCAAAATAATTACGAGTCTTTGGATGATATAGTGAATGCAATGATCAAACGGGTATGAGAATATTTTTTGCTTTATCCATCTCAGTTACCACACTTCAGATGCGTTCTTTTCAGCTTTTTTTCACTCATCATTTCAAGTTTTCTTGCCGTAAAGAAGCTACAAACAAATTTCAAAGGACTCCTTAACTTGTTTTGGTATAAACTGTAAAAGCTCAAGATGATGACAACATGTATGACCTTTACTGTCATGTTTATAGAATGGGAGTTGGTCATGGTTGCACATATCTACTTTCATTATTCAGTCTTTAGATTCTTTATTTTGATAGAAAGATTACATGTTCTTATCAACTTATCACTTCCATATCATTAATAGTACGTATGTGATGGGTTGGTGTTTTTTCATCTACATTTATTCAAAATGTTTTTGCCATGTTACCTTGGAAACATTTGAGTGGCTGAATTAATAAGGTGAGTGAATGAGAGGAGAGGATGTAAGTGTGTATAATCGACAATCACTAAATCCGAATCTATAGATAGAATTCAAAGTTCACTGATAGAAGGAACTGTGAATCATGACTGTAGCCAGTCTCCCTATTATAATTTGTTACTGCTACTGTGGAAATTTTGTATTACTAGTTGCTTGTTTCATTTTCTTTGCACTTGTTGTCTGGAAAGATTCCTGACTGTTTTTGAGAGATAAAATTGTTAAGCTACATGCTTTGACCCATTATAATGTTATTCGAAGCAGGATCAAAATGATGGCGTCTTGATGGATGGAGAATTCGGGTTTGAATCTTACTCACCTGGATCATGCATTTGAGACTCCCTTCCTCCATATTGAAGGAGAAGAAGGGCATCCGAGTTCACTGCTCTCATGGACAAATTTGTATCTTGTAGTTGATCTCTCTTTTCTTTTTCTTTTTCTTTTTTAGTTTATTTTTCCTTCCCCTTTTCCCCGATGTACTTTCATCGGCCTTTTTCCATTCTTATTCCCTATTACTAGAGTTAATTTACTGGTTAACATTTATAGCAGGATCCTAGTTTTTATCTCTTTCTTTTCTCTTCTCTTGTTGATAAACTAATCGTACATATTGAATTCATCTCTTTCCTTAATTTTTAATATTTGCTCTTTGTAAATTTAAAGTTAACGAGACGTTTGCAGATTTTTTTGACTGCCTTGGAGCTATAGTTTGATAACAGAAGCATAAACCTTTCACTGAAAATGCTTGACCAGGAAAGAAAAGAATGGTTGCTTTGAACAGCCTCCATTACATATGATTTGTTTTCGCTTGTGTTTATCTTATTCAGACACTGGTTTTGAGATTCATGGTCCTCGGATTTACCAAGAATTATTTGTACTCATGCATGGACAGACACAGGTACCTTTCACTTTTCTTTTTGTGTGTGAACAGGAAAGCGTTTGCTACTCTGCATGGAACCATTTGTTATGTTTAGGGAAAGAAAACGAGGGAGGTTCATGTGGTCTTTATGTTTCTGCAATATCCTAGAAGTTCTGCGTTAGTCTTTTGCACTTAGAGGAGGTGGGATTAACATTTTTATACGCCTCGTAAGGAATAGCAAGCCAAAGTAGAACAACAAGCATGGTTACGAGATCCGATTTGAGATTTAAAACCCGACAAAGAAGTTAGTTCAATGAACCCAAGACTGACAAAGCTTTCTGGAACATCCATGATTTAATTCTTCTGTCTGATATAATCAGGCAATGATTGTTACGGTACAGCATTTAGTTATAATTATTTTAATTTCATTCTGATCGCCACATCATCCCATTTACGTTATTGCTATAATTAGTTGTTTTATTTTTAAATTTAATTCTTCAATTACAGATGCTTATACACGGTTACTATGATCTCATATCATAATCTAAATTGTTAATTTAGCAAATTAATTCAAGTTAACTGAATTTATATAATTTATTGTTATTTTAATTTTTTTAAAAAAAATTATCTTACTAATTATTCAGCTTATACTTGGCAAGTTAATCAAATCACATTAATTCAACCACACATGATTTTAGAAAAAACATTGGAAACGCTTAAACAATTTTGTTGTGGCGTCTTCCCTTTACAGGAGGAAGCGAGAACGATAAACATGGCGTCTTCTCTAAACTTAGATAATGTCTCCTTCATTCGATTTTTGCTTTGTCCGGCCAATGAGAACATAGGCAAAAGCAGAGACTGGAGTCATGCAGCATCCTTTTTAATCCCAATCTGTTAAGCTTGAATATATTCAATTATGTTTCTCAACGATCAAACAAAAAAATTAAAAATTCACGGGCTCTTAACATATATAATATCAGTTAACACCAGGATAAATTAGATTTAAACATTCTGTTCAATCCAGCTCAACAAGCCGAGCTCTTCTTTCTGCGGCTTTCTTCCTGACAAAAATCCCCCAGCGTAGAGCTGCTTTCAGCTTAAGCCATCCAACGACAGCCTTTGAGCCTCTTCCTCGCTCCTGCGCATATGTTTGATCCCTCTGAGGCTCATATGCTTGAACGCTATAAGAGTAACAAGGCTCATCAGGATGAACAAAACCAGGTCCCATTCCAACTCCACCCATACCGAGTGTTTTTAGCAGTCTCTGCATGTCATCACTCTCCAACATCTCTGAACTCCTTACCCGTATTTCTTCTGTGAAGAAGTCTTCTAATCCATTCCCAGTCCTTGGCCGAGACCAATCTCCTGGAAAGCAAGTATCCCCCACTGGGGTTCCAACAGACATATAATCCGTGCCACCAGATAAGGCTGCTTGTGGATTATTTAGGGTCATTGCTGCATTCTGATCTGACCTAACAAATGGAAATTTAATCAACTGAGGGACTGATGGGTGGTTAATTATAGCTTGATATTGTGGACTTGGTTCAGAAGGGATAAACTGTTGCTTGTTTTGATCAGATGTTATATACTGATTTCTCTCATAGCTGCTGTCGACTATGGGTGCAGCGGATGCTCCTTTGCCACCCTTATTGCTAGCTAGGGAGTTCAGAACTTTGCCATCATATTCCACAACATGATGCCAATTCTCATATGCTCGCTTCACCAGGGAATCCACTGAAACCTGTAAGCAAACATTAACATGAATGAGCAAAAATCTACTCACAAAGACAAGCAATGCGGATCCTTCAATCCCTAGGGGGGTTTTTGAGCTCATGACTTTCAAGATGCTGAACAAAGGATTGGGGCAGCTAAAGTTTCCACAACGTGTCTTAATAAGGTCATTTCTTATGTCTAAACTAGAGAATAACCATCAGTTGTTAATGGTCCTGATGGTCTATCAATCAAACACATCGGCAGGAAAATTCGAATAGACTATCCACCACATACCATGTAACCCTCTTGACTGTTATTTAATGTTTAATTTCAAGATTATTTCCACCACATTTTATTGAGCATATTTCTTTACATCATTAAATGATATGAGCAGATGACCATTCACTACTTTTCCTAAAGCTAACTGCAGTATTTTGTATGGCACTTTGAACGGACAGATCCTGTGCACTATAAGCAGACGAATATCAGGAGCAAAAATAAAGTGTAAAATGATGTGAAAATATTGTAGTCAATTCTGAATGGTAGAGCGTATCTAACCTTTTGATTGTGATTAAGTGAATCCAGAGAGAGGAACTGCCCATCAGAAATAAGGCCCCTGGGCTCATAAACATTATTGAAAACAACACCGGTGCTATGAGTACCAGCAGCATAGTAAACGTAAAGCTTTCCTCCTAAGACACAAGTCTTCGCATGCTCAACTGTATTCTCCCACATCCTATTTGACATTCCACTTCCAAGGATCTACGTGCACATCAAAATGGGGCAGCAGGAAATTGAAGAGCAATTAATATGGAAACAAGGGATATGTTCTGAAAGAAATAATTAGTTTCTCAGCACATATGTAGGGAAAAACAAGCAACCAGAGAAAGGGATTCTTACATTTCTTAATTTCTGTGAATCCCTAAAAAGAACACGGAGAAAATCTTCAACTGTTGTAATATCAGCCATCACCAATTTTTTGTGCAGTGCTCCATCCTTTGCTATCCTGTCCAATCTCCAAACTTCATCATGTAAAGCCGGCGGGTAGTGTTTTTTGTATACTGCAAATTATAAAAACAATCCTGGTTACAACAACTTGATGGCAACAATTCATCTGAAATTTAATAAAATATAAGAGGCGATATTTCAATCAAGTATAGGCTCCCAAACTATAAGACAGCCCCTAAAACTGGAGGTTTGTTTCTAAGACGCTGCAGAACTGGCTGTTGCATCCATTTATAGCATTAGTTATATTCTAAGGCTTTTGCATTGCATGTTTACACCCAAGAAAATAACTGAACTATGAAGTTCCAAGTCAAAAAGTCCTGTACTACTCATATTTACCTTCACAATCAGACTTGACAGCGAGTTGTCTTTCAACCAAGCTAAGAATTACAGCTTGGAAGAATGCAGAAGGAACTACTGTTCTCCTGCTACTCTTACAACCTTTCACCATCCAATATGCACCATGTCATGCAGTGGAAGGCTACTAGCTTTATCAGCAAATGCACTATAATAGAATGATATCATTGTTTCTCAATTAAATGAAAGAGAAACCCAGAAATATGGTATCATTTGAGAGGCTTAGTGGGCAGCCATCTACCTAGCCTAGTAAGAGTATCTAGATTCTAATATTGTTGATCACTTATTTTTCATGTTTATACTCTACTGTTCTACTCTTCAAGAAGGATGTGTGCTCCATGGAGATTAAACTAGCAATCATAAATTATAACTACCAAAAAACTCACATTCTCCTCGGTGATCTTTAACAGCAAATGCCTCTGTCTTAGCCTCACGAACACGAATCCCCTCACAATATCCAGGAGAAACCTTAACACCAAGCCTGAACTTTCTGCTCCTTATCCAACTAGAATTGTCAGTAAATGTAAGATCTCCAAGAGTTCCTACCCCTTCCTTGAGACTGACCTGTAGATCCCCAGTCAGTAGTGGCCTTTTACCTTCACGCTCCTTTACTTCATGGCTTTCAAAATGTTCTGCTGTCCAACCTTCATCAGCTTCGTCATTGAAGTCACCTTCAAGAACCACAACATTCAGTTTGGCTGCTGATTCTGGTCCAGTTTGCATGACAGTTCCAGTGCTTGCATCCAACAGGACAACATGGATAGTTGCCCCTTGCTCCCCCTCAACTTTCCCTCCGGTGAACAGGTGAGGAGGCATTCTTGTTCTGAAATGAAGTTGTAGATTGTTTCCATTTGGGCCTGCAAGTTTTGGTGGTGACGACCTGACATGTAGAAATGCAAGTCATGTATGAATACCTATACATTGCAGTTGTTTCAACACTTCTAAGTTCCCAACTTCCATCAGGAGAGCATGGGTTATAACTGAAATTTATAAGGATTGTTTCTACATTGTTTGTCTGCATCATGAAGATCCAAGGCAGATTGGAAAGAAAACATTAGTCTATAGGATTAAAAAATATCCAGGAACCTACCCTCCAGCCAATTTAGCAGGGCCTAACCTCGTCAAAGCACGTTCCACTTCTTCGCTGACCTGATTATTCATTCAAAAAACCAAAATCAGCAAAAGAAGTTGGAGATAGCTAGAATCAGATAACACGTCATGATTGCGATGCCTTCAATAAATTGAACCAACAGCAGAAGCATTGGAGATAGAGAGATAAGAAATCGTTTGAATGTTGCCAACGACTTTTTTTCAACAAATCGAACTAGGAATTACTGAGCAGCAGTCTCTGCAACTATTTCAGTATGACTATACGTGAGACCTAATACGTGACTCCAGTCATGATTCTCATGACATACAGTGAACTAGAAATATACAGCAGCAGTGGTGTCATTGTGTCTTCTAAAGGCTAGCATGATATCACTCTTCTTATCTATTAAGCTCATCAGCCATCAATATACCACAACCCAACTAATATTTTATTATAATAAACGAATTAAAGAAAGACTTTATGGCTCACAATTCTGCGAAACAAAGGCTCCAGAGATGAGCAAAGTCTTTGCAAACTATCCACCTTCAAAGCCTCCACAATTACACTGCAGATAATCCAAGTCTTATATCAGTTGGAGTGAACTCAAAAGAAATGCCGCAAACCATTTGTACAAAGAAGATAGTAGACAAACTGACTTAATTATGCATCAAACATTGACTTGAAAATTCAACCAATTCCACAGAAGTTTAGGCTGTTTGAAACTCGAGCCCAAAAGCTTAAGCATGCATTTGATATTTCAATAATGATGATCTTGTTCTTAAACATTGGTCTGATTTAGCAAACGCAACTCGGTGGAGGCTTTGATACTGAAATCAGCCCCAAAGACTGGTTTCAGTAGCCCTAACTCAACAATCCCACTCTAACACCGCTCTAGTGCCCAAGATTCTCTTACAATCACAGGCTCATTCCTTCATGTACCTCCCTTCACTGCCAAACAAGTTGAAGCTCGTCTACAAGCAGTTTCAATCATTCCGGAAGTCTATCAAGTCACCAGCCTAGTGATATTGTTAATGAAGATAACATTTCACTTGGCATGAGATCCACCAGTCATTAAGTCACCAAAAGTCATTGTAAAACCAAACCCAACGGATCCAAGAAGATAAATCCAATATCCAAATTCTCCTATAATTAACCCCCCGTTTTGGATCCTAATTAACATAACTCATTCTTTCAATTCTCTTTTAGTTGTCCTAATTAATCCTTCAAGCCAAGAAACAAAACCACAACACAAATTGCTTAGACCATGAACTACTTGTAATAAAAATCGTAAACAATAAACCTCGTGAAGTAATGCAAAGACAAACCTTGCTAAAGCGGGCAATTTTGCCTTTTTTGATTCTGGCAGGTTGTCAGCTTCATCATCGACACCCTGCTCATAACCTCTTTTCTCAACTCTCCTGCCCCTCGAACTTTCCATTTTAGAAGCTTAACAGAATCCAAAAAGATTTCAGCTACCTTTCCAAATTTAGTGGGGTCTCAAGAGTGTTCTAAAGATCCAAGCACAGCCCGAGAAACTTCAAAGAAAGAGAAAATGAAAACCCTATATGCACAACATGTGAGTACACATCACCATATGCTTCTGACGAGAAAAGACTGAAGCTTTCAGACCCCAAAAAAGCAGAGAGAGCTTTCTACGACAGCTTCCAGATCTTGATATCGCAAGGATGATGTGTTTGTTTACTTTTACATGGATCCAAGCTGATTTATTTTCTTTACTTCTGATCTAAGAATAATAATAAATATTTCTGTCTACGTATATAAAAATATAAAAGTAATGTCAATACCAGGCATGACAGTGAGTGCATGAACGTCTTTGAAACCGCGTTTGAGGGTGTCCATCGGCAAGCATGTGGTATTTGACTGCTCGTGATTTCTTTGGAAGAGGAAAGTCAAACTCGTGGCCCCATAGAACCAAATTGCCTCACATGCATCTATTTTTTTGTTAGGATGTGCACAAGCTGACCACCTCTGTGCTGTTTGGATACAAATAGCTGTTTAGTTTCAATTCCTTTCTTGGTTTTTTGGCTCAGCATCTCTTGTCCCTTGAAATGGATTTTGCCGATGGAAGTTTCAACTACAGACGCTATAAAATAGAACCATGCAAGATGGGTTTTTCACGCCACAATGCATGCGGATCTAAAAAACATTAAAACAATTCAAGTGTTTCTAAACAAGTAAATAAATTTGAGATTTAGTTCATTGTTTTGACCGTATTTGATAAGATCACCCGGTTTAAATAATACAAATAAATAAAATATAATGATAATAAATAAACTTGAAAAAACCATTAACAGTAAAAAAAATTATGAAATGATTATTTTATTCTTATATTTATATGTTTGTATGACCACATTATCCATGATTCAACTTGAAGATAATTAAAAAAAATCATAATAAAAATGTATCCTTTAAAGAGTTTTTTTCTTGCAAGGGTATATCAATTATTTTGACCGTATTTGATAAGATTATCAGGTTTAAATAATACAAATAAATAAATATAATAATAATAAATAAACTAAAAAAAACATTGACTATAAAAAAAAATTATAAAGTGAATATTTTATTCTTATATTTATATACTTGTATGACCACGTTATCCATGATTTAACTTGAACATAATAAAAATATAAAAAATCACTTTAAGTGTTCTTTAAAGAGTTTTTTTCTTGTAAGGATATATCAATCATTTTGCTATGTTTAAAAAAAAAAAATTAAGTCTCTAGAAGTAGTTTAATATTTTTTTCTTTTAAGAGTTTTTTTAGTTGTTTTGTTATGAAAATATTAAAAGATCAAATTATCCTTAGTTGACAATTCAAAGTTTTTATAGTGAAACTGCAAACCTATTATTACATTGTTTCAATAAATACTAATCTATGACTTTTCTAGGAGATTTAGGTTCCTTTTTAATGAGAAGGTCCATCCCAATTAGATTTAACGGACTAATTAAATTTAAAAAAATAAAAATAAAAATAAAAAAAGAACTCAGTTTTGCAATATAGGCTAAGATACATTTCACTTGAACCTGAACATTGAAATGACCATTTTGCAATTCTCAAGAAAAATCAAACAACTTTCTAGCGAGGGCAATATGCATTTTTCCTTATTGTTAATTGGTATTATCATATTAATCTGGGAAAAACTAATCTATTTATTTTTTTAGCATAATAAAATAATTTAATTACTTTGAAAAATAAATAATATTAAATTGGTGTCTAGTGATTTTTTGTTTTGTTTTTTTACTTATTTATGCACAATAAAACAACTTACTTACCTTTAAAATAATAAAAAATTATTAGGTTGGTATAGAGATTTTTTTATTGTATTTTTCATCTTGATTGTTTTTTTTATAGTTAAGTTGACTAATGTGCAAGTTAGTATTTTAATAAATATAAAATATTATTTAAAAATTAAAAATAATTATGCGCGTTGCAAGCACGCATCAATGAGTGAAACATGTCTATATTTTTTAGGTAAAATGTGAAATATCTTCCAATAATTAAATATTATTTTTTGTAATAGTGTTAAAAATATCATGATATCCTCTATTCGATGATCAGACATGCATGCATGGTGATATAGTGATTGAGTTTTGATAAAACAAAAAATTATCCTCTCTCTTTTCTATGTCCTTACCTTGGGTTTCATACATGTCATTTCAAAAATTAAATATATGTTACAATTTGTGTTTGTTTTAATTGTGATTATTATTTGTTTTACTTTTATTTTTTAAAAAGATGGTTTATTTTTTATTTTTTTCCATTAGCATTTTATTTCATTTAATTTATGTATCGAGTTTGGTCCCTTTTTTTTATCCCTTTTTAATATTTTTTTTCAAATTTGTCTCTAATTATTTTATTTCATTTAATTTTTATATCAGATATGGTCTTCATTCTTTTAATTGCTATTTATTTTATTTTTTAAATCCTTTTTTTGATTATTTTTTAATTATATCCCTTGATATTTGGATAATTGAGAATTTTGCTTTATGTTTTTTTTCATATTTGCTTTCTAAGAGATAATCTTGGTATTAGATTTCAAAGATTAGTCGGATTTTATTTTGATATTTTTTTAATTTTTTATTTAATATTAGGTTATTAAGCTTTGAACTTCGTGATTTTTTTATTTTTTTTCTATAAAGTTATTTTGATCTCATATTTCAAGTCGTTAAATAGTCGAGTTAACCTTGATTTAATTGAATATTTTTTTTTAATTTTGCTTTTTATTATTTAATTTATTAGAGTTGAACTCCATTATTTTCTTCAATTTCTTTTACATGGGTTATCCAGATTTTTTTTATATGGGTTAATGGGTTATCCGGATCACAGTTGACCAGGGATTTAGCAAGATTTTCAGATATTAATAATTTAATTACTTTGAAAAATAAATATTATTAAATTGGTGTCTAGTGATTTTTTTTGTTTTTTTACTTATTTATGCACAATAAAACAACTTACTTACCTTTAAAATAATAAAAAATTATTAGGTTGGTATAGGGATTTTTTTATTGTATTTTTCATCTTGATTTTTTTTTATATACTTAAGTTGACTAATGGGCGAGTTAGTATTTTAATAAATATAAAATATTATTTAAAAATTAAAAATAATTATGTGTGTTGCAATCATGTATTAACAAGTGAAACATCTCAATATTTTTTAGGTTTTTTAGGTAGTATGCAAAGTATCTCCCAATTATCAAATATTATCTTATGTGATAGTGTTGAAAATGTCCTGATATCCTTTATCCAATGATAAGACATGCATGCATGGTGATATAGTGATTGAGTTTTGATAAAAAAAAAATTTTATCCTTTCTCTTTTCTATGTCCTTACCTTGGTTTCATACATGCCATTTCAAAAATTAAATATATGCTACAATTTGTGTTTGTTTTAATTGTAATTATTATTTGTTTAAAAAAGATGGTTTATTTTTTATTTTTTTTCATTAGCATTTGATTTTATTTAATTTATGTATCGAGTTTGGTATTTTTTTTATTGTTTTTTTATCTTTTTTAAGTTTGTTTTTCAAATTTGTTTCTAATTATTTTATTTCATTTAATTTTTATATCAGACATGGTCTTCATTCTTTTAATTGCTATTTATTTTATTTTTTAAATCCCTTTCTTGATTATTTTTTTAATTATATCCCTTAATATTTGGATAATTAAGAATTTTGCTTTATGTTTTTTTTTTTATCATATTTGCTTTTTAAGAGATAATCTTGGTCTTAAATTTCAAAGATTAGTCGGATTTTATTTTGATATATTTTTTAATTTTTTTATTTAATATTAGGTTGTTAAACTTTGAACTTCGTGATTTTTTTATATTTTTTTATGAGGTTATTTTGATCTTATATCTCAAGTCGTTAATTAGTCGAGTTAACCCTGATTTAATTGGATATTTTATTTTTTAATTTTGCTTTTTGTTATTTAATTTATTAGAGTTAACCCTGATTTAATTGGATATTTTATTTTTTAATTTTTCTTTTCATTATTTAATTTATTAGAGTTGAACTCCATTATTTTTTTCAATTTTTTTTATATGGGTTAAGTTGAACTCCATTATTTTCTTCAATTTCTTTTATATGGGTTACCCGATCACAACTGACCAGGAATTTAGCAAGATTTTCAGATATTTATTTTTATAAAATTATCTCATTTTTATTCAAGTTTTATTTTGTCATCAAATAAAATCATCACATTTTTAAAATTTTTATAATATTAACAACCATCATTGTAGAGTCGTGGAACAGCGTTCTTGGAGTATCGTGGCTCCATGTTCTTGCCAGAAGTGACGAAGTCTCGATCACTGTCACCACCTTTTAGGTTTGGAAATATCCGTAAATTTGACTTTTGATCGCTTAATCTAAAAAAATCTATGCATTCATCGTTTCATTTCCCCTTACTTGTTAACACTTGATGGTCATTATCATTCAACATGATATCAGTTTGAAAATATATTAAAATATTTATTTTTTAATTTTAATTTTTGGTATAAATATATCAAAGTCATAGAAATACTCTAAAAAAACCTATCAATTTAATGAATTTTTAAACCAAACTAGCAGGACAATGTTATTGAAAGATGCGACTGAATGCATTTCTTAATTCCAAAGGAACTGTTGAAGGAAGATTGCAAGCAAAAAGAACACAAACAAATGACATGGCTGAGGTAGGTGAGATAAGGTGAAGCGAACAGCTGATGCTTTTATACGGTCAACATGCAACATGAAAAAATCCACAAGATCCCTCGATACTAAAAGATGGAGATTTTTTTTTTTTTAAATTAACATGAGGGTCCGATTCTGCTTAAAAAAAAAAAAAAAAGAGATTACGTTGTCCAGGAAGTTTATATCAGGGTAATAAAAGAAGACTTGTAAAATCATGACTATTACAGTATGCATGACAGTACAGCACTGTATCAAGTAATTCATTAAGAGTACACTTGAAATAATGGCTGAGCTGTGGATCCAGAACAGATCGAATTACCGGTGAAAATTGATACATACATGCCATTTTTTGCTTGCCTTTGCAAGAAAACTGATGCAATTTGCTAGTGACAGTGTAAGCGAGGATTTCAAGGAATTTGCGAGTGCCTGCTAGTATAAAAGCTAACGATAAAACAATTTGCTAGTTCAAGTGTAAGAAATATCTAATATCAATTATATAACAATTACTTTCCTTCGTAACCCAGTTGACGGGCCCGTTGCTCCCATAAGGAAGTAATCTTCCTCTCTCTGATCAGCAATGCTTCAGACTGCTCTCTTGCCTCCTCACATGTTTCAGTTGCAGCATTGCATTTTTCTGCCTCCCTTTGGTATTGGGATGCCACCCTTTTTGCTTCAGCAAGCGTGATGTTCATGTGATGAGCATGCTCTTGAGCAACAGCCTCTTGCAATTTCAACTCCTCTGTTAGAAGGTCAACAAATTGCTTCTCCATCTCCAATTTGAGATCT